ACTCACAAGATATGAGACTTGACACTGCGTTGACACTCTTGTCCAGCAGGTTGTGCACACAGTGGGTGAAGAAACAGTGAACCAAGAAGCTGTTCAAGATACGTTTCACTCGGGCAATGTATACGCCCAAGCACAGCCACGAATCCAACCATGCATCGTGAGAAAAGGTAAGTGCTTGATTTTGAACCGGCTTTCCTGAGAGAAACTTGAAAAGAAAACTGGAGGAATATATATATATATATATTGAAAATTAGTGGAAAAGAAGTGGATAAAGTTTGGTGTGCCTTTGACAGGGTTAAGCAAGAAGGGGGAAAGTATGGCAAATTTCGCGAATGAAATAAAACATATCACTGTTTTAGGGTGTTCAGACGCCTGGGTGCCACTAGGCTTTCTTTTAAAACAAAGTCAGGTGTTTGGTGGAAGTCTGTGAAATTCATGTTTACACACTGAGTCAAAAAAGTTCAAAAAGAACGGGAATCAAGCAAGATGAACAATGCTCATGAAATGAAGGCAGTGGAATCTTAGTGAAGTACTAAACTTAGGGTCGCAAACGCCATGGCGGAACACAAGGTGGGAATGTGGACCAGTTTCAGCTGATTAACATCAAACTACATTGTACATTCTACATGAAATCAGAACCCAGGTTCACGGTATCCAGGTGTATAAAGCAGAAACCAGGCTTCAAACTTTTGCAGGTCACACACACCTCTCTATAAACTCATATGGACCAGGTTCAGTTGATTGTAATGAGGCTAAATGCATATTCTCCATGTCTCCTGTCTCCATGAAATGAGAATCCAAAAACATAATGACACATAAGAGAAGGAACAGGAAAGAGAAGGAAAGAAGAAAATGAGAAAAGACAACTTGACAACACATTTACTAAATTAGTTGGCTGAGCTGAGCTGCTCAGGGAATCACAGAATCTGAGGTCTGAGTTTGAGGTTCTATTGATGAATGTGGTCCATGCATTAAGTAGCAAGTGATAAGTAAGAATTAATTTATAAGAAACTAATAGAAGTGCAAGATCTTCGTTTAGAAGCGGGCCCCCCAGCAGACTATGGTGACACAGCAAGGCAGCGCTAGATTGGCGCTATGTTTCTTCATATCAGGATAAGCAAGCAGGAAAAAGAAGAAACAAGCAGAGAGCAGAGAGAAGGAAAAAAGAAGATATAAGACCAGAAAAACGAAGAACAAACAAGAAGACAGAGAAGGAGAAGAAGAAGAATAATGCACAACAAAAAGAAGACAAGCAAGCAGGAAAAATAAGCAGCTGACTGGCAGACTATGGTGATACAGTAAGGCAGCGCTAGATTGGCGCTAGGATTCTTCATAACAGGACAAGCAAACAGGAAAAATAAGAAACAAACAAAGAGCAGGAAAAAAGAAGACGCAAGACCAGAAGAAGGAAGAACGAACAAGAAGAAGAAGGAGAAGAAGAAGAATGCACAACAAGAAGAAGACAAACAAGCAGGAAAAATAAGCATCTGAATCTGACAGGATAATAAAGAAACCGACGGAGATTTAGAAGCGGGCACCCATGGATTTGCGATGAGTGCACTCATACGTTTTACACCCCCCCTCTAACCCACCCCCCCCTTTTCCACTAAGGCTGGAATAAAGAAAGGAACTGGGAATAAGGGTCTATTCCAGGCCTGTTTCCCTAAGCCACTATTAATAAGGGAATAGAGGTGAAAATTTGTATTCCAAGTCTATTTCGGCTAAAAAAAGCATTAAGTTGAAGCATATCAAATTTGGAAATAAGCCTGAAACAAGGAAATTGCAACCTTATTTCTGGAAAACGTGAAAATGCTTATTTCCCTAATTCCATTACCCAGAAATAACAGAAATAGAAGAAATAAGAACGCTTTGTTTGCTGAGAATCTCCAGTGCACCAGACCCATGAGGATGCAATTCGCTACTACAGCAATGGCCTCCAACCCAAGAGCAAGAGGAAACTAACTAAGAGCGATGGCCTCCAACCTACTAGCGATGGCCTCCAACCTACTAGCGATGGCCTCCAACATACTAGCAACGGCCTCCAACCTGGTAGCCACAGTAACCTAATTGTGATGTCCTCCAACCTGAGAGCGATGCCAACCTACTAGCTGTGTGTGTTTCCTGAGAGTTGGCGATGGTGTGAGATTTGAGAGAAAGCTATGTCAGCAATCAACTTGCGCATTCAAAGGCCTTGCAGAGTGTAAATCTGGCGCTTCAGGTACACCTGTGATCAATTAGAGAAAACGGTGGGATTTTGGATTGAAGCAAGGACAAACCGTATCAAACATGGAGCTGTTAATTCCCTTCTTGTTTTAGGAAGCCAAAGGCTTGGAGACTCAGAGGTGTCCATTTCAGCTGTGTCTCTGATGTGAAAAGCATCGCATTGAACCCAGTGGCATGGCTCAAAGCGAGGGGGGATGGATGCAGATGAAGATGAGGTTGTTTCCATCATCCTGTTGGAAAACAACAGGCAGTATGAAAGTGGAGAACCAATTCTTTATTTTCCTATTTCCCTGTTTCCTTATATCCTTATTCCTGTACAGGGTGTGTTTCCATGTTGTTATATAATTGGTTCCACATCAGCACTGGCCATAATGAGGCGCCGCAATAACAAACATCCCTATTTCCTTATTTCGCTTTTTCCTTATTCCAGTACGGGTCTATGTTCATCAGCTCAAGCCAGAACTAAGCTCTTACTCCAGATTCATTGATTCCACTATTTCCGCGCGAATCTAGGATGGAGGGTCCTCATTCCGTTGCGTTGCCTATCCAAGATGAGGGGAAAGGAGAGTTCTGCAAGACGTGTGTGCTCCTGCTTGGGGGACAGACAGTGACGGTGTTCAGCAGCAGGAAACTACAGAGTGAGTGGTGCTTGACTGACACCTTGTGCATTTTCAGAAGGAGCGCTTCCCGTGCGCAGGCTGCCAAATATTTTGACAAAGACAAGCAGAACGAGAAACACATCAGGACATACCATGAATGCTTGTGGCCAGGAGAGGAATTTCAGTTGCTGCGCCCCAAGCATGGGAAGGGGGCGGAAAGCTCGAAACAAGAAAGCTGGCTTCAGACAAAAACAATTTGCACGTCGGGGCTGTTCGCCGCTATTGCCTACTGGCTGAACTACAAGTACATGCATGACGTGGATCGCTCATCTGCGTGCCAGGGCTTGAGTCAGTTGCTGGCTTGCCTATTGAACTGCAAAGGGCAGTGTGCTTTTCCTCATGTGAAGTGTGGCCAGCAGGGCCGGAACCCTGACCGCGTGTCCATAGAGTTGGATGCCAGTGGCCGTGTGATGATCCAGAGTTTCTTTAGTAGAAATTTCTGGATGGAGAGTGCGCGGGCGCTTTGGAAGAAAGACTTCAAGAATTCAGAGAAGACATGGGTGAACGTCATGGCTTTGTTCGATGAACAGCGCTTGGTTTCTCTTTCGGATGTGGTCGCCTTCACTCTGGATCCACAGCATCCCAGAGAGTTTCAAGATGTCGCTCTGCCAAGCGTTTTTAGGCTGCTGACTGAGATGGCCTATGAGATCGATATCTGCGTTGAAGACATGAGTTCAACAACAACCCATTTTCGATCTGGTCAAAAGCGGAAGCGATTGACCCAAGCTGTTTCTCAAGCTGCAGTGGAAATGGTTGCAAACAAAATCTGGTCTGGGGATGATGCTCGGATCAATTTATCATTGATGTTCTGTACATGTTCGTTGACACGGCGACTGGTGACTGCTCAAAGTCTTATTCCTGTATCTCCTTAGTTCCCTATTTTCTTATTTCTATTCATGTTTCTCAGCTTGCGTCTTTCCTACACGCTTCCCTGGTAGGCCAATCCCAACGAGTGAGAAAAAGGTAGGAAACAAAAGACATAGGGAGTAAGTATGTCTGCGCTTATTTGCATTGGTACACCTGAGGAGAGGTTCATCAAGTCAGCCACCACCAAAGTGGGCGCCAATGTGAACCCGTCAGGGATTGCAGCTTCAATCATGGTGCCTCGGTGTCATTTCCTGGGTGAGTGACGCGTTGAGAGGATTTCAAATCAGGCGTTCCATTGGGGGGTGTCCTATTTCTGGGCAATGGAATTAAGGAAATAAGCATTGTCACATCTTCCAGAAATAATGTTGCACCTTTTTGTTTTCATGTGTTTTTTTAATGATATACTTCAATTCAATGCCCTTTTGGGGATTAGGGAAACAATCCTGGAATAGACCCTTATTCCCACTCTATGTCTTTATTCCAGCCTTAGTGGAAAGAAGGGTGTGGGTTAGGGGAAGGCAGCAAATCCGGAAAACCAAAGCACCTGGTGCCGGGTTCTGCGCTGAGTTCATCTACTGGTGCACTGCGCGGGCCTTTTTCAAAGGCGTGCGAGAGTACCATGCACTTTGGCCTGCATTGGCTGTGGACTCGTGCGTTTGGTGCCATCCTTGAAAAAGACCCCACGGCCTAAAAGATTTGTTTATCTCGCTATTCCTTAATTTCCTTCTTCAAAGTCCGAGTTCGAGAGAACAGGGGGACAGAAGCCATTGACCAAATTCCATGAATATTGACCTACAAGCGGTGGTGATTTCCCCCACACCGGCTGCAGGTATACACTGATGGCTCCTCTGTGGCCAAACGCCCGCTCGAGCTTACGTGGGTTTTCTCTCCGGAGAAAGGCCGCGGCGTTTTTGCACCGCCCATTGCAGGGAACCCTAGACGGTCAGTTGCGGGTGATCTTTTTGGATAGCCGCAGTCAGACTGGATTGCGGACAGTAATACTCCAGAATTAAGGAATTAAGGACATAACGTGTGTTTGGATTCTATCTGTGCCTTGTGCGTTGATTTGAGATGGCCACTAACATAGCTAAATCCACGAGTGTTGTGGCTTCAACGTCCGTCTGTGGCATTCCAGCAGAAACGGTGAAACCGTGTGAGAGAAGGTCAATTGTCAACCAACTGAAGCCAAGTCCAATAATCATCGTAAGCGTTGACTCAACACTGAACTTTTCAAAACACTGAACCCTTTTTTATCACCTGACCTTGACCTAGCTTGAAGAAAGCTTGGCCATGGCTTCCACTGATGACTTCGATGACAATGTGAGCACAGTCAGCCTCACAGATTCTGAAGCGCCTGAATGGACCAAATCGTCGACGTCGTCAATCAGCACCAACCCGTTGGAAGAATTATGGTGGCAAGTTACCAGTATGAAGGGGAAGTGTTAGATAGGTTTTAGATAGGTGGAACTTGGCGGGAGGGTCAAAACAAAAATCTTGCTGTTCCCGGCATTCAGCTCAGGATTTGGCAGCAGAATCCAATTTGACCAGGGCTGCTCGGTGTGTCCAGCTTTGCTGGGCCATCCTGTTTAAAGAATTGGGGAAGAACACTTTGCAGGACTGACCCGACTAGTCTGTTTTCGATGAATTGAGCCAGCCCCTTCTTGAATGGTGCAAGATAAAAAAACCTATTGTTGGTCCAGTTGATCATTTGTTGTTAAGTTGTTAAAAAAGCTGAGTAGCTTGTCTCGACGTTTTACGACAATGACATGAACCGACGCTATGAACCTGTTGCCCTTCATGTCCAGCTGGTTTTGGAATTATTTCAAGACTCTTTCGTTCACAATCCCTATTTCCCTGAGTCCCTATTATTTCCCTATGTCCTTATTTCCAGTTTCCCAGCTCAATACGTTTCAGGTGATTGGGGGCACATTATGGTTGTTTTCACCCCAAACACCCTCCGACAAAGACAAAGGGGCGAGCATTTCGGATCGCTCCACCCGTAGGAGTCCATGCTCGTGCAAGTTCATGCCACTTCTTCAGCCTGCACTGGGGCACGCTGAGATGGGCCAAGCGGTCATTCAGAAAACAATCAATTCCTCCAAAGAACTGGACCGCATGGTTGAATTTACGAGCATCAGAGCGCATGATCCTTGTATGCATCTAGTGGTCATTGCTTGGTGCCTTTTCTTTTGAAGGAAGTTCAATGACCGGGTGGGAATATTAATTTGGACTTGCCGCCCGCCGCCCTCTCGCCCTTCTCACTCCCAGAAGAAGCCCCGCGGCTGGGGGTCAGTGTGTGTCCACCATGAGAAGAGTAGCGTACCTTAGGTACCTAACAATTGGTCGCTCAATATAAGCAGAATACCGGAATACCAATCTCGCGCCAGTAAGGAGACCAACAAGGGCTGCAGACAGCTCATTGCGGATCATGTTCGCTGGTGTGGGGAAAGTGACCAACGATCACTCACAGCCATGTGTTCACGGCGACCTCACTCAAATCATGCCAAGCAACAGCTTTGACCCTGAGAGCGGTTTCGAAGCCAAGGCGGCCCAGATCAACCAAGCCAAGCTTCGCACCACCCAATATTGCTTTACGCATGACCGCCAGTGTCCAATTTTTGGGAAGAGGGCTAGAGAAGTGGACCTGGATGTGAGTGGGCTACCTTGCCCAGACTTTTCAGCGATGGTTTTCTGCAGCCATGCCAAGTTTCATGCTGCTTGGCAAACCCCAATGCTGATCATCGAGAACGTGCCGGACAGGGATTTGCTTAAAGCATGTTCAAAAGCACAAATTGGTAAGTAGAATAAGAAGGTCTTTCCACAACAGCTCTCACAGGATTGAAACAAGGAAACAAGGAAATACTGAATTAAGGAAATAAGGAATTAGGCTGGAGAAGATTCTTGAACTTGGTTATTGCCATGACTACCACCAATTCTAACACATTCACACTTCTTGCGACTCCTGCCCCTGCCGGCGTGGCCTCTTGTGTTGCGAGGACCTGGATTTGGGAATGATCACGTACTTGTATTCCAAGCACTACAGGATTCGGTGCCTGCGCGTGATGCCAGCCCATCAGGGGCACGCTGGTGTAGCCAGGGAGAGGGTCTACTTGATTTTGACTTTGAAGAAGAGTGTAGTGGAGATTGCAAATCCTGAAGACATGTACAAGAAGGTGTCAGACTTCATCATGAGCTGGGTCTGTACAGAACCGAAAGACTGTGAGTGTTGAGTCAACAGTTTTTACAATAATACGCGCCCTTTTCACAAAAAGGTTTGTTGGGTCCGTGTGTCGGGTATTGTGGAAGGGCGGTCCACACTTCAATGAGCCAGGACTACATGGTATCCACCACGGCGGAGTACTACAGGGAGGCTTCCAAAACTGCCAGGACGCGTGGTATTCCTCTACGGCCCGCACCTAGAAGGCAAACTATTCTGTTCTTATCATTCATCGCCCACTTGCACGCTATGAACGATCTCATTCCCACCGTGCGCTAAGGTATCCAACACTGATCTTAAAGTCTATTCACCGATCCGGCGCCAGCGATTCCAAGAGGATGCTCTGGATTCTCCGTACTCGATGAGGTATTTGCTGAACCAGAACCTCTTCATGAAATTAGGTGCACGTTTTTGCATTTTTGCACAAGCTGTCCTAGCTCTACTAGCTGGAAACATCGCTTGAATTCCAAAGAAATTGCGCTCGGCCTAGCAGCACAGACGGAGAGAGTCGAGAAATCAACGGCGGTGTGTGTGGTGGTGGTGGTGGTGTGAGTGTGTGTGTGTGTTCCACCCAGGCATCTGAGCCAGCAGCACCGTCGGCTGGTACGGTCACCTCCTCAGTCGGAGAGGAGGGGACACCGGTGCATGAAATCAGCAGCTGTGATTCACCCAAGCCCGTTAATGAGGGTGCCGAAGATAGGGAAGAAGAAGCTGCGACGGATGACTCAGTAGTCGAACAACAAGAGGAGCATGAGGTAACCAGTGTTGGCTACATCGGATGGCGAATCTCCTGCCATCGCAGCAGTCTGCTTCAGTGATCCACTTGGCACTTCAAGGCTGGAGCTCATCCGTAGGATTGAACTTGAAGGCGAACGATTAGCCTGGGTAGCCCATGCCGCGACATTCCGCGTGCTCTGGGGAAAGGTCGAAGAATCCACAGATGGAGGCATCACCGATGACCGTGGAGTCCGAAAGAACCTCCGCGTTGCTCTTGAAGAAGGCGCTGATCCAGCAGATAACATGGAGGCAACAGTCTGCCCTGACACCTTAGCTGTAGCACAAGCATCCACCACTTACATTGAATCGTCGCCAGTGGATGCAGAGGCATTGTTCCACGAGTGTCCGACATTCCGGACCGGGAGCCTGAATGACTGCAAGCGCACGCACATGCCTGAACTTCGAGTCTGCGCTTTCCACATCAATGCTCATGCCTTTCAGTCAGGTATTACGGCCGGCAAGAACGCCATCATGAAGATTTTGATCACGGCCGTGGCAGACCAGGTGGACGTCATCGCGTGCGATGCTAATCAGTTCACGAACCGCAACTTCCGGGGCGATCGACATGCCGATCCAGGAACCGGAGCTGTCCTAACCATCCTTGACCCGATTCTTGTTTCTGCGAACAAGAAGCGCGAGCCGAGTAAGCGCATCACCTATAACTGGGAGGTCTCAACCCTCGCCAGTGAGCAGCTCAATTCATGGCTGACGAAGAGCGCCCAACCAGAGGCACTTTCACGCTGGATGATCCTGGTTGCGTGCATATCTTGACTTGCGGAAAGGAATTCAACAAGCAGATTGCGGACTTCGACCGCTCCAAGAGTCTGGCCACATTGGGGCCTATCTTGGGACAGTTTGACTGCTGATGTTCGACTGCATGGGATTTGGAGATCCTCAACACGACCCGCAATTGCGATCCCACATTGGAACCCATCCTGAGATCATTCGAGGGATGACTGGCAGTGAGAAGACGATGGAAGCATTGCTATATGGACTTCATCATTTGAAGGCAAGCCATGAGAAGGGGCAACAGTTGGCAGTCATAGCTTATTGCAGGCGAAACAGACACAGATCTGTATCCTTTGGGTGGTTGCTTGCAACGGCATTCAAGCAGCTATGCCCGGGAGCTCACTTGACCTTGACACATTCCAATCAGGAGAATTCATGGAACCAGATGAGCGGCACATGCAAGGGCAAATGTGCCATGTGCATCCATGAGTCGAAGGACGCTCTGGAAGCAGCCCTGAGGTCGAGGGACTATGTCTTGAAGCAGTTTGGCCTGAAGGCAACACCGATGTACAGCCATGTTGGCCAAGTCGTGTTTGACTCTGAGATTGAGGCCCGAGAAGGTGACAGGAGGACTCAAGCCCCTGTTGGTTCCCGAGTGTTGCCACCACCGCCGTGTCCACCTTCAAGGAAACCACCACTCATTCGTCCTGCAGTGGTAAAGGCAGCCCCAGCGAAAGCATCAGCTTCATTGCCAAAAGAGACGCACACCGTGTCTCACAGAGGACCAGGATCCGTGAGGCCAGCTTCACCAGATCCACCTCTTGCTGCAGCAACGCCAAAGGCACCAGCGCCCGAAGCACCAACACGTGAAGAAGATGAGAGTCGATACAATGAAGATGCTGAACTTCGTCGTCGTGACAAGGCCGAGACCTCCAGGCAGGCAGAACCGAGAGGTGAATCCGTGACAACGAGCCAGCCTGTTGCTACGACACAGGCCTTGCTACAGACTGTTGAGTTGTTGACGCAGCAGGTGAAGCAGATGCAGGATCGTGAGCATGAAAGGAGGCGATCACGTTCAAGAGATCGTCGCCGGAGGACGCGGTCAGATAGCCGAGAGAGCTACCGCGGAAGGAGGCGCGATGGCAGCCGAGATCGTCGTGGAAGAAGCAGGAGTTTGTCGCGGAGAAGGTCACGTTCATTTGGTCGCATCCCGACGCCTCCGAAGTTGGTTCCGAGAGAGCCGGAAGGACCGCCACCTAGATGGCTATGGTCGTGGAACCAGCCGAGACTCGGATCAGTCGGCTTGGAATGAACGTCGCTACGTGTCTTCATCGGAGCGCCCAGGAGCATCGCATTTCCCGAGGGCTACGGGTGCATGGCCATCGCGCCTTGAGTTCCCTACAGTGGAAGGCGATGTACCGTGGAACCGTCGAGTGAATCTCGAACACATGCCGCTTGAATTGCTTGACAGAATCTGGGATTCAGTGCCAGATTTGGGAATGAAGGCCTCGCGTTGTGCCCTTCGTTGGGTAGGGCCCTTCTTCCCTGGTTCGACGTCACTCACCAGCAAGGAGATCGCCAAGTCGAACCACGAGCTCAATGTGAAGATCGTAGTCCAGCATGAGACCTATGACCATGGCAAGCACTCTGCGAAGCCCAGCAGAGCGTACTACACCGACTACATGAAAGATGATGGTTGGCAGGTGTCGAGTTTTGAACATGTTGAAGGCCAGTGGGAGATGTCATTGTTGAGAGGCAGTTTGGAGAACCAGCCGCTAGAGCTTGACTGGTATGTCAAGGGCAGGATCTTGATCTTCTCACCCCCATTCGTAGAACTTGAAGACGTCGAAGAAGAAGAAGTGCCCGCAGGAGGCGACAATCAGGGAGATGGTAATAATGACCAGGATCAACCTGATGACAATGGAGATGATGAAAACGAACCTGATGAAGGACCCTCAAAGCGCACGAAGACAGAGGTTACAGAGATGGCAGAACCCGTGGAACCGGCAAGTGAGATTCCCAAGGAGGAGAACACGGAAGATGCAGTTGATGCAGAAGCTGTTGAACCGCTCCATGGCTGCACCGCAATCGATCCGTCGAACGCACCCAAAGAGGAAATGTCAGACGATGACGTAGTTACCATGAGTACACGAAGCACTCCGGATCGTCCGACCAGCTCGCGTGAGGTGCTCGACCGAGACAAGTTCATCATGAGCCGTTTCCAAGGAGAAATCGAACTGAGCTCCGACAGCGAAGGTCACGCATTCGTAGCTCTGGATCATCGAACTATGAACAAGGGAGAAAAACAAGTGTTCGTCGCCGGCCTGCAGACCATGCAAGAGAATGACTCAGTCTTGCACGCACTTGTTTCGAACAATCCGCTGAGTGTCCAACACATGGTCATTGTCAAGGATGACATGTTGATCAATGCACCCCAGAGTGCAAAGGTATTCGATGTAGGTGCAAGCTGGGTAAAGACCCGCAAGGAGGTCATCAAGCACATTTCGAATAAGATCCCTGGTTTGGTCGTACTGTTTTTGGAGAACACGGACCCCAGGAGGATTTGGAATGACATGCTCATGGAAGTTGACATGTATGGCTGCAACCTTCTTCTCTTCACACCACTTCTCGAGATATCAGTTGAGCATTCCATTTGCCTTGGTGGTGACCTAGAATTTGCCCTGGCAGGCCAACAAGGCCCCAAGCTCATGGAGGCGCTGGAAGGTTGGTGCGGTGAGAACATGATCCCAAAGTGTTTTGAGGATGCAAAATCAGCAAAACTCCTAGAGATGTTGAACACTATGTCAGAAGAAACCTATTTGGAACATTTTGCACGGACATGTTTTGTTGCAGACGAACTTGAAGACATCTCTGAAATTGACGATAGTGACATTGAGAGAGTTCCCCAGGAAACCAGACAAGACGATGGAAAACCATTGTCGGCAAGAGAACAGGAAGAACTCATGCTAGACCAACTTGCATTGCCCGGAGCGGACATGACGGAGCAGAAGCGGAGACAGTTATGGCGTGCTTCCCCAGAGGACCCGCATTGCAATCCGTCGCTTGCATCGGCAGTTCGGACATCCCACACCGTCAACTTTGAAGAACATTTTAAAGGCAGGTAAGGCAAGCAAGGAGTTGATCGAAGCCGCACGTCTTGTCCGTTGTCAGTCCTGCGAAGACACTGCACCACGTCCCCGTGACCATCCGGTAGGAAATAGTAATTTCCAGTATGAGTTCAATGCCATGCTTGGTCTTGACGTCACAGAAATGAAGGACTATGCAGGAAACAAGTACAGCATTCTCACGATGCTGGACATTTCGACAGGATTCCATTTGTCAGAGGTTGTCAAAGAAGGTGGAGGTATGCCAACGTCAGAAGCATGTGCACAGGCCATTCTTCGTAGATGGATTAGCTGGGCAGGATTCCCAAAGGCCGCAATCATGGATAGAGGTGTTCACAACCGAGGTGAGGTGTCCAAGCTGTTCGCTTCGCATGGTGTTGAGATTTTCTATGCACCACTGGAAACACCATCAGCCGTTGGCAAGGTTGAAAGGCACCAAGGTATCTTGAAGGCAATTCTCAGGAAGACCATCCATGACATGGAAGCCGTTGGCCGTAATGCATTTGAAACATGCTTGCATGAATGCACTTCCGTGAAGAATCACATACAGAGAGTCCAAGGCTATTCTCCAGCACAATGGGTCCTGGGAAGGAACCCAAGAGTTCCAGGATCTGTCACAGACATGGATGAAGCAGGAAACTTGGGCATTCTGGAGAACAAGCTTGACCCTGCAGCAAGCTATCATTTGTGTCATGCATCTCGTATGGCTGCGCAAAAGGCATTTATTCATTTGGATACAAGTTCCCATGTTGCAAGAGCATTGACCAGGAATGCAGCAGTCCAGAACAAGAAGTCATTTGTGGTTGGAGACCTTGTGGTCTACCGTCGTGACACCCAACATGGTGGAACCGTGTGGTCCACTGCTTCACGTGTGATCGGCGT